CTGCCTCCCGCAGGGCCCGCGGCCGCTGGCGCCGGGGACAAAGGCCTCCCTGGCCCTGAAGCCTTTTGTCTCGTCCAAAGCCCCCTCCAGCCCCGGGCCTGCGCAGCCTGACCATTCCCTTCAAGATAAAGCAATGCCACACGCTCAGGGATTCGAGTTGATTCGCCGGATGTTTCACCATCAGTTCTCCAGACTAAGGACTCAGCTCCCAGCCCCTCCTCCCTCAGACCCGGGAGTCCAGACCCCCATCCCCTGCTCCCTCAGACCTAGGAGTCCAGGCCCAGGCCCTCTGCCTTCAGACCCCAGAGTCCAGGTCCCAGGCCCTCCTCCCTCAGACCCAGGAGTCCAGGCCTCAGCCCCTCCTCCCTCAGATCCCAAGTCCAGGCCTCCAGGTCCTCCTCCCTCGGACCATGGAGTCCAAGCCCCCAAACTTCTGGTCCCTCAGACCCAGGCATCTGGGCCCTGCACTTTAGCCCTCCAGGGCATCACGTCGCCCCTCTACCCTCTGGGTCTAACTTTCCCCTTCAGAGCCTGACCCGGCTGCCAATTCCGTTCAGAGACTTTCGCCCCTCCTCTTCTGGGCTATTTTGGGAGCACCTGTCAGACTGGGATAACTTCTCTGGTTAAACAAACACCAGGGAAGAGGTGGCTGGAAGGTCCATGGTCGAGCAGCTGAGCAGGGGTTGGTGAGGTTGAGACTGGCACACCGCCAGTTGAGAGGCGTCCAAGGCAGGACACCTGTGACACTGCTGAGGGCACTTCTTTCATGTAGCAGTTACTGTCTTCCTGATGATCAGTGTCAGACCCAGTTCAACCCACAAATGCAGGTGGGTCACACAAATTCCACCGTGTAACACCGTCTGTACTAGTCAGTTCGAGACCAGCCTGGACAACATGGCGAGACCTCATCTATACAATAAATAAAAAGTTAACCGGGCTTGGTGGTGCACACCTGTGGTTCCACCTTCTTGGAACACTGATCGCCTGAGCCCAGCAGGTAGAGGCTGCAGTAGCCATGAGTATGCCACTGCAGTCTAGCCTGGGTGACGCAGTGAGACGCTAAAAAAAAAAATCTGCATTAGTCAGTCAAGGAAGTGGTTTTCTAGGCTTCCAGTCCTTATTCCCTCAGACCTGGGAGTCAAGACCCCTAGTCCCTCCTCCCTCAGACCCAGAAGTCCAGACCCCCAGCCCCACCTCCCTCAGACCAGGAGCCCAGGCTCCCAGCCCTTCCTCCCTCAGTGAGACCCCCTGACCCTCCTCCAAGATTCTGGAATCTTGGTCCTCACACTCTGTCACCTGGGTCCCGGTTAATCATCTCTCTCATTCCCTAGACCCAGGACTCCAGACCCCAGTCCCTTCTCTTTCAAACCCAGGGGTCCGGGTCCCCAGCCCCTCTTACTTCAGACCCAGGGGTCCAGGCCCCCACCCCATTTTACCACAGTCCCAGGAGTCCAGACCATCAGCGCCTCCTTCTTCAGACCCAGGAGTCCAGGCCCCCAGCCTCTCCTCTCTCAGTCCCAAGAGTCCAGGCCCCCAGACCCTCCTCCCTCAGTGAGACCCCCCCAGACCTTCTTCCCAAGACTCAGGAATCTTGGCCCTCACCCCCTGTCACCTGGGTCCCTTTCATCAGGTCCTCATCTCTCTCATCCCCCAGACCCAGGAGCCCAGGCCCCAGTGGGAAGGACCCCTAGGTTGCATCATCTGTTCAGGCTGTCCTGGCCACGGTGGCATCCCAGCTCCTGCCAAGTGGGTCAGATATCACAGGGTCAGGCGTGGGTAGGGTAGGGTGATTGGGCGGGTCAGTCTGGGTATAAATACTGGAGCTTCTGCAAGTATCCCCTGAATCCTGGGTGTTCTGTCAGCCTTGGGTCCAGGAGGAAGAGGACCCAGGCGTTCAGGCCACCCAAGGAGCCATCTGCGGATACCAGAATCTCAAACCCATCTCAACATTCAGCGGCTGCAGCCTCACACCCCAGAGCTCGCCTAGGACGTGAGCCATCGATGGGCTGGGACAAGGCCGGGTTCGCGCACCCAGGACTGTGGGTCCCCGTGCTGGCCGTCCTCCTGGCAGGAGCCTGCCAGGCGCACCCCATCCCTGACTCCAGCCCCCTCCTCCAATTCGGGAACCAAGTTCGGCAGCGGTATCTCTACACAGATGATGACCAGGAGATGGAAGCCCACCTGGAGATCAGGGCAGACGGCACAGTGGTGGGGGTAGCCCGCCGGAGCCCCGAAAGTAAGTGTGGGGGAGGGGCTGAGGGAAGAGGGACTGGGGATCAGAGGCCCTGGGGCTGGGACCCAGCGGGCAGGAGAGATCCTCGGGTTGCCTTAGTGCTGTCCTCCCCTAGGTCTCTTGGAACTGAAAGCCCTGAAGCCTGGGGTCATTCAAATCTTGGGAGTCAAGACATCCAGGTTCCTGTGCCAGAGGCCAGATGGGGCCCTGTATGGATCGGTGAGTTTTCTGGCCCGCCCCCTCGCCCACCACCCTTCCACAGGTCATCTTCACTATCTGGGGGACCGGGTCTTGCACATTTGCCAGGGACAGATGTGGTCCTATGTTCTCTGCATACCTCGACCTCACTGCAACTTCTGTAACTGTTGTCATCGATGCTTGCAAGATGAGGAAACGGAGGCTCAAGCGGAGAGATGCCACTGGACTCAGTTGTATGGATGGCCTCAGAGGCCGAGTGTCGTGACTCTGTAACCCCTGCTCCTGACCAGCAAGGCTCCTGTGTGCCTGGCTCATGCCGGGCAAGAGGGACGCTCAGGAAAGCCATGGCCAGTAACATGACCAGGACTTTGGGTGGTAGCCAGACCTCCCTCTTGGCCTTAGAGAGCAATGATGAGTACCTGGGCTAGAATGTTCTTCCTTGTGAAATCCAAACAGGAAAGTCGGCCCTGCAGGACTTCCAGGGAAGTAAAGAAGAAAATCTGCTTTTGGAGTTTTTGTTTGTTTTTTGTTTGTTTGTTTGTTTTGTTTTGTCTTGTTTTCTGAGTCAAGTTCTCACTCCGTGACTCTATAGCCCAGGCTGAAGTACAGTGGCATAGTCACGACCACAGCCATGACCTCCTGGACTCAGGCGATCCTTCCTCCTCAGCCTCCTAAGTAGCTAGAACGGCAGGTGCACACCACCACACATGGCTAATTTTTTTTTTCAGTCAGGGTCTCACTCTGTCGCCCAGGCTGGAGTGCAGTGGCACACTCACAGCCTCCACAACCTCAACCTGCTGGGCTCAGGTGATCCTTCTGTCTCAGCCTTCCAAGTAGCTGGAACTACAGGTGCATGCTACCATGCCCAGCTCATTTTTTGATTTTTGTAGAGATGAGATCTCGCCATGTTGCCCAGGCTGGTCTTGAATCCCTGGGCTCAGACAATCCTCTTTCCTCGGCCTCCCAAAGTGCTGGAATTACAGGCTTGAGCCACTGTGCCCAGTAAGTTTTTTGTAGAGACATGGTCTTGTTATGTTGCCCCAAGCTGGCCTTGAACTCCTGGGCTCAAAGGATCCTCCCACCTCAGCCTTCCAAGGTGTTGGAATTACAGACATGCACCACTGCACCTGCATTTGGAGTTTCGCTTCCTGGAGAAGGGGCTGAAGGTCTGGCCCCTCCAGTCTGAGGGAGGAGAGGCTGGGGACCTGGCCTTCTGGGTCCCGCAGCGGGAGCACATATGGGAATCCTCGTCTCTGACCCCTGTTCTTTGTTCCTCAGCTCTACTTTGACCCCAAGACCTGCAGCTTCCGGGAGCTGCTTCTTGAAGACGGATACAACGTTTACCAGTCCGAGACCCTCGGCCTTCCACTGCACCTGCCCCCCCACCATTCCCCACACCAGGACCCAACCCTCCGGGGACCAGCCCGCTTCCTCCCACTGCCAGGCCGACCCCCCTCTGCGCCAGATCCACCGGGGATCCTGGCCCCCGAGCCCCCCGATGTGGGCTCCTCGGACCCTCTGAGCCTGGTGGGGTCTTCACAGGGCCAAAGCCCCAGCTATGCTTCCTGAAGCCACGGGCGGTGTATCATTGGGTCTCCCCCTCTTTATTTATTGAGTTATTTATCTTATTTATTTTTCTATTTTTCATAAGGTAATAAAAGGCTAAGGAGGATCAGAGTGAACATGTGTGAGTGTTGAGAAAAAAAGCGGGATCCACTTCCTGGTCTCTCAAAACCCCCCTCCCACCTCCCCTCCCACTGCCCAAAGGTCCCAGGTTCCTGCTGGGCCTCAGCTTTCTGTTCTGCTAAGGTGTCCCAAGGGACTGTGGGACTCTCCCTGCCCTTTGATGGACAGGACTTTTCATCCACCCCAACCCACTGTTAGCATCTTGGGACTGACGCCAGGTGGGTTTGTTGTGTTTTGTTTTTTGAGAAAGAAGAATTTATTGAGAGGACAGAGAAGGGGATCCAAGGGAGTTGCCCCTGGGTGGAGTTCTTTTACTTGACTCCGGAATAATTTTTCAGGGTGGCCAGCAAAGTTTTAAAACAGTTTATAAGTGAGAGAAGAGAAGGAAAAAGGAAGATTCTTGGCAGAAGACCTGCCACAGGCAGGCAAGTTTCTGAAAAAGAGAAATCTTAGTCGGACACGGTGGCTCATGCCTGTAATCGCAGAACTTTGGGAGGCCGAGGCGAGAGGATTGCCTGAGTCCAGGGGTTCGAGACCAATCTGGGCCACTTGTTGAGACCTCGTCTCTACAATAAATCAAAAAAATTAACCAGGCATGGTGGCACATGCCTGTAGTTCCATCTACTTGGAAGGCTAAGGTGCAAGGATCACCTGAGCCCAGCAGGTGAGGTTGTGGTGGCTGTGAGTATGCCACTGCACTCCAGCCTGGGCAACAGAGACTCCGACTCTAAGAGGCAGAGGCGAAAGGATTGTCTGAGTCCAGGGGTTTGAGACCAGCCTGGGCGACCTGGCAAGACCTCATCTCTACAATAAATAAATTTTATAAATGAACCGTGTGTGGTGGTATATGCCTGTGGCTCTAGCTACTTGGAAGGCTAATGTGGAAGGATTGCCTGAGCCCAGCAGGTCAAGGTTGCAGTGGCCGTGAGTGTACCACTGCAATCCAGCCTGGGTGACAGAGTGAGACTCTGACTCAAAACAAATAAACAAACAAAGTATGAATGCTTCCTAAAACCTACCTATGGGAAATTTATCCATCTGTGTCTAACCTGTGGCTACCCTGCCTCAGAACTATTTCTCAGTTTCACGTCAATAATGGGGGACTTTATTTTAATGACTCTGCTGGCCCACAGCCTTATGGAAGATGTAGTTTTCTAGGGTCAATCAGTGGTAGGAATGGCGAAATGTCCTGGTCCTCAGAGACAGGGCAAGGACTCCTGGATCCTGGTGAGGGATTTGGTGCCACCCTAGCACTCAAGTCCCGAGGAATCAGAGGCTCGGGTCCCAGAAGAGCAAAGGAATAAAAATGTAGGCACCCGGATCTGAGAGGAAGCTGGAGGCTGGGAGTTGTTGATAAAAAAGCCAAATTCTGTAAAATATTCAAAAAGGTGTATTCTGAACCAAATATGAGTGACCAAGGCCCAAGACACAGCCCCAAGAGACCCTGAGAACTTGTGCCCAATTGAATTACAATTTGCTTTTTTTTTTGAGCCAAAGTCTCACTCTGTCACCCAAGCAGGAGTGCAGTGTCATGCTCATGGCCACCACAGCCTCCATTTGCTGGGCTCAGGCGATCCTTCTGCCTCAGCCTTCCAAGTAGCTAGAACTACAGGCACACAACACCATGCCTGGCTACTTTTTTGATTTATTGTAGAGACGAGGTCTCGCCAAGTTGCCCAGGCTGGTCTCCAGCTCATGGTCTCAGGCAATTCTCTCACCTCGGCCTCCCAAAGTGCTGGGATTATAGGCGTGAGCCACTGCGCCCAGTCTCCAGGCACCTTCTTGTGTAAGCATCTATATCGCCTACAGCATTAATGCTGGTTTTCATTTGGCTTTGCATTGCCACGACGTTCCCTGATTCATCTGGGGCGAAAGTGCAACACCGACAGGGACAGTGGTACATGTGCCTCCTTGAGACGTGGTACGAATATCTCTAAGTATCCAGTTTTGCCACACTACCTTGCACATTACAGCCATTTCACTATTAATTGTTCTTACTTTCTTTCTTTTTTTTTTTTTTGAGTTGGAGTCTCACTCTGTCGCCTGGACTGGAGTGCAGTGGCCGCTCCTGGCCACTGCAGCTTCGATCTGCTGGGCTCCGGCGATCCTTCCACCTCAGCCTTCCAAGTAGCCAGAATTACAG